GAGGCAGAGCAAATTCCAGCTTTTTTTAAAATTCAGTACTGAGTTGTAATGCAGTGGGATAATCTTGAGAACTAAGAAGGGACTAGGACTTTTGATTTGTCTTACTTTGTTATTGAAGTAAGGTCTTTACTTTGCCTAGTTTCAGGAAAGGAACTCATCCGGGGATATACAGTCCGCTCTGATTTGCCAAGTTGTGTTTGAGAAAAACTGATGGACTGATGTTTAAGGCAGCAAATTATAATAAAGAACAATAACAATGTTGTATATAAGCTTTAGAAATGAGTACATATGTAAGCACAAGTATTAGGAGTCAGGTGATTATAATAAGAAAAAACAACTTGGTGAATCATTGTCCTCGAGAGGTGGGAGGGAGTTGCCAGGTTTTCCTTTCCTAAAGTTGGACGTATTATAGACATTGCTCTGATAAAACTTATACCCATAAACTTCAGTGTTTCTTTTAAATGTAATGAATTCATAGAGGTATCTGTAGCTTTTTGAACAGTCTTACAAAGGATAATATAACCATCACTAACAGTCCTTAGTTTAGTCTGTGGTTTTATGATAGATATTCGGTTTGTAATTTCTCTGTATATAGTTTTTGAATCAATAATTATTTTGTAATTTTTCTAAAAGTGCCTAGGCTTGGCACATACCTTTTTACAGTTAGGCTTTCCTACCACCTTATCAAACATCGGTAGACTTTTCTTCATCCATACCTTATTCGCCCTTTCTCTTTCCCGAGCAGCCGGGGGACTGTGGTTGGCTGATTGAGAAGCTACAGAGCTGTAGCAATGAGGAGCTTCTCCCAGTCCTCCGGAGCGTGGAGACTTGGAGTTACGGAAAATGTGAACTGTATCACTGGATTGATGTCCTTGACAGGTAGGTGCTGAATTCCGTGGCATTTCTTGGTTGGTGTCGGGGTTGCTGCGGGTCCGGAGTTTGGGGGGGGGAAGTCGTGTTGAAGGGAATGCTTGCTTGATTTTAATTGAGTTCACTTTCAGTCAGCAATTTTTTAGATATTGATTGAAATTAAGCTTCTGTTTGAAATAGTTATGAAAATTAAATCTACATTGAAGTTCAAAGTTATGGTTATTCAAATTACACAAAAATTGCAGTTTATGATGATATTAAAATGACAATAAAAAGTTACATTGAAATGGGATTTTAAAATTATTTCAAAATAGCTGTTGGAAAATTTTAAATGGTTACAGAAATTTTTATTTGAATTAATAATTCAAAATAAAATTGAGATTGCAGTTAAAAATTGCATTGATATAGCTATTCAAAATCATGGGTGACTTGGTAATTCGTAAAAGAGACTAATGTTAGATTCACTGATTTACGAGGGATCTCCTTTCCAGATTCGACACAATTTTAGAAGAAGCAGCTCAGAAGGATGAAGACAAATGGGTGCTTCCGTGTGACCTCCCTCAGAATAGCCATGTGAGTTCCATTTCTGTATGTTGGGCCTCAGGCAGTTGCTCGGCGGAATACGTGGAGGGAGAGAGAATAAAGGAATGGCAAAGGATAATGCGAAAGTTTATTCATTAATGTCAGCGAGTTTTTTTTTCCTGGTGAATAAATATCTTATGAGTGAGTGAAGAAGTGAGTTGATGAGAGTGAGTGAGTAGGTGGGAGGGTGGGTGGGGGGGAGGCTTGATTGAGTGTCTGTGTATGTGTGTGTTTGTGTCTAAATTCTTGCCCCCTTTTATGAGAATGGAAATAAATCACATGTCTTACCTCTACTGCCTTTAGGTCCAGGAGCTGGTGGTATGGGTGCTCCACTTCACAACACTCCTTGTGGAGCACTCATTCTCACGCCACCTCTACTCCTCCGTGGAGCACCTCATCACCCTCCTCTCCTCCACTTCAATGACAATCGTCCTGGCTGTCCTAAACCTGCTCTACATGTTTAGCAAAAGGTTTGTGTTGCTTGGGTCACCTTGAATCCTGTTTGAATTATGGGTTTGACGATTATTTTTATGTTTATTATTTTTTGTTGTTAATACTTTTGTGTTTTTTATCATTATTATTTATTATCATGATTAAAAATCTGTTTAATGTCAGTAAAGTAATTTCATGGTTAAAACATAGCTACCTTGTGACATTTTCAAGGCCTATGAATCTTGAAGATGGTAAATCTTAGGGTCTAGTTGTGGAGTACCTCTTCATATTGTCTTCCTTTTTTCCAGGTCTAATTTTATCACACGGTTAGCAGTAGCCCCTAGAAAGGCCCTGTTGACACGCCTCATAAATTTGGCCGAGCCATGGGGTGGCAAGGAAAATGGCTTTGGTTTGGCACAATGCTGCCAGAATCTTCCTCTTTCTGTAAGTAATTTCTTCACCCTGTTAATACATAAGTTATAGGAAATGGTAATTAATAATTATTTGATATTTAAAACACATATGCATACCTATGTACACACACACACACACACACACACACACACACACACACACACACACACACACACACACACACACACACACACACACACAC